GACGAGGCGGGGTCGCGGCCTCCGCAGACGACGCGCCGGCCACCGCGGGCGCGCCGTTGGGGGGAGGGAAACCGCTTAATACCACCAGATCAGTGCGCCTGCGCAGTCCCGCCCACAACGGTAACTCCACCCCCTTTTGGCCACGCCCCTCCGTTACCCGCCGCCCCCTGCCAACTGCCCGCCCGCTTGCCCCGCCCCCCCATGTCCTGGGGGGGCTGCACCTTTGTGCTCAAACCCTGGACGGGTCACGCCCCGTGTGGCCACGCCCAGTTTCGATCTCTCCCTCTTAAGACACGCCCATTGGCCCAATATCGGTCTCAGGCTGTCCCCTCCCCCCCACTGTCAAGGTGCTAGCTACTTGGTGCTGCTCCTGCATGCACGCACCAGTTAACCCTGTGGATCCAGTCACGACCTTTCCTAGCCATGCTTCTGTACTGCTATCACACTCTCTACTGGACACGTCCAGCTTCCCTGTGTCCAGTCTAGGCCATGGAGTCCACCTACTTTGGGTGCTTTATGTGCAGTACCATGCCACATACACTCTGGATTTTCATTTTTTTAGTCAAGCTGAGGATTAGAGCTTGAGCCTCTGACCTGCTGAGCTACTCTTTTATACCCAGCAAAGATGGCATCACTATATTCTATACCCAGTGTCTTAGTTAGGATTTCTACTGCTGTGGTAAAACAGCATGGCCAAAATCAGCTTATGGAGGAAAGGATTTATTTCCTCTTAATGCTTCTAGGTAACCATCAATGATGGAGATCAGAGCAACTTAAGAGAACTGGGATCACCCACATCAATTGTCAATCAAGGAAGTGCACCACAGGCTTGACCACAAAGTTATAGCATCACCTCTAGTTCTACGCCTAACAACGCTATCTCTTGAGAAGCAAAGATAAAGTAATCCTTCCTTTCCTATTTCTTTTTTCATTTTTTAAAACAAGATTGACACTGTACCCAGACCTGCCTCAAACCTAGTATGATCGCCTGCCTCACCCTCTGGATACTGGCATTGGAGGCATGTGCTACCACACTTAACACAATGATGACTTTTTCTAATATATATATTTTTTAAAAATGTAAGCCAGGCAGTGGTGGAGCACTCCTTTGATTCCAGCACTTGGGAGACAAAAGCAGGCAGATATCTGTGAGTTTGAGGCCAGCCTGGTCTACAGAGCAATTTCCAGGACAGCCAGGGCTGCTACACAGAGAAACCTGTCTTGAGAAAACAAGGCAAACAAAAAAGTAAATGTAAATAGGGCTGGAATAGAGCTCAGTGATAGATGTATAAGGGCCCAGGTTTGATCTCTAGCACTGAAAGAAAAAATGTTAAATAACCATCCATTACTAGTAGACTTGTACTACAGGAGAAGTTAAGGCAATCCATCATATTGTACACAGAGAAGGTATAAATTTGGATCTACACAACCCAAGGAAGATCTGGATAGGTTAAAAATGTTCAACAAAAGCCTTAAAGTAACTACTGATAGGAAAATGACAAAAAGAACATGGGGTTGCAGTGTAAAGAGGCATAAGAGGAAACAGCAGAAAGATGGACACAAGAGACAAATGTGGAATAAACAGATGGAAGGTTTATGTTCAACAAGATCACATAAAATAGAAATGGCTTAAATGTGGAAAAGCAGACTGGAGAGACGGCTCAGCAGTTAAAAGCACTTGTTGCTCTTCCAGAGGACCTGGGTTTGGTTCCTAGTACCTAAGTGATGGTTCATGTCATCCATAACTTGAGTTTTGGAAATCCAATGCTCTCTTTAGAACCCCACAGGCACCAGATATGCACATGATGCATGTACTTCACATGCAGGCAAAACACATACATAAATCTAAAAAACACTAAATTTGGAAAAGCGATGGTTACCAAGATGGACACAAAGCCAAGCCCTGGAGTACCTATATATAAAATCCTCTAGGCTGTTGTGTGATGGCACACACCTTTAATTCGGCACTTAGGTGCAGAGGCAGAGGGATATCTGTGAGTATGAGGCCCACTGATCTCCATAATGAGTTCCAGAGACTCTGTGTCAAAAACTACCCCTCTAGCGACAGATGTGTCTTACACCTGTCATCTCAGCACTTAAGGTTGCAGGAAAAGTTGTTATGTACTTCAAGACAGCCTGGGTTACAGAGTTCCAGGTACGTCTGACTACAGAGTTAACTTTTCCCTCAAAAACAAAACAAAGAAAGTAAAGGTTTGTTCACTCCAATAAGAGGGGCATCAACATCAGACCTGTGAGACCACCCCTCTCTCTATGAGGGAATGCCCAATTTTGGGAGACACTCACATGGTGGTCACAGCTGCTCTCCATCAGTACAGGAAAGGTCACGTTAAGCTTAGAGAAAAAGTTATACTACATGTCAAGATGCAGGATGGAAACAGCACCTGGTCTTTGTAAACAATTCCATGGAATCTGTTAAAGAAAAAAACCAGGAAATCTGGTTAGGTTGCAGAATCCAAGATTGTGGAAATACTGGTATATTTCTGTATCTCAACAACAAACTTGTAGACGCTGAATTTAAATTACATTTATAACTTCTCAAAAATGCACTTGGGTATAAATCTAAAAATATGCATTAGGAGCAAGAATGCTGGAAGTTACACTCCTAGAAACTGGAGAGTTAGACAGTTATTGTAGGAAAACCCAACAGTAACCATATAGTCGTCCCGAAGTAATAGATCTGATGAAATGTTTATTAAAACCCAGCAAATTTTTGTTGTAGATACAAAATTATTCTACATTTAATGGAAAAACAAACTTGAATGGCTATGAGTTCGGTCAGAGGCTGCCGGCAGTAAAGGTGCCTGCCAGAAAGCCTGATGACCTAAATTCAATCTCTAAGTTCCATTTTGGTAGGAGAAAACTGATTGCCACAGTGGTCCTCTGACCTCCATACATGCCCACCGTACATGCATACTGACAAACACTCACACCAAATAAATATATTTTATGTTTGAGAGACTAAAACAAAGATGGTGTAGTATTAGAGAAGAAATAGGTATGAGATTAAGAAAACAGAGCAGAGCTCTATGACCAGTCTTCCACAAGCAGGGCCAGTTGACTACACAAAGGCACAAAACCAGCTCAGTAAAGAAAGAATGGGCAGTGAAAGGGAATCGCTACGTCAACCTTGAGTCTTACATGAAGCTTAACTCAAAAGAAAGACTGAAAGCTTCATTTATAGGAGAATGAAATCAGAGGTAGTACCACATGCCTTTTCAAGAAGGAGGAGGAGGAGGAGAAGGGGGGAAAGGGAGAAGGAGGAGGAGAAAGAAGAAGGAGGAGGAGGAGGAGGAGAAGGAGGAGGAGAAGAAGGAGGAGGAGGAAAAAGAGGAAGAAGAAGAAATAATAAAAGTGAAGGCAAACCCCTTCAGAACCCAGGGTTAGGTTCTTAGGCATGATACTGATATCCAGACCTTCTTTTAAAAACAGTGAGCTGGGGACTTGGAGATAAGACTCAGTGGTTAAGAGCACATATCGCATTTCCACAGGACCTGAGTTTGGATCCCAGTATCTGTGTCAGGTGGCTCCCAATCACCCCTAACTCCATCTTTAGGAGGGTCTGATGTCCTCTGGCCTCCGCAAGCAGGTACCACCATGTCTGGTTTTCTACTAAAATGAGATGCACCAAGTGCAGTGGTTTTATTCTCTGTATGAGATGACGCTGAGAAGGGCAAACAGCACCCAGAACTATTGGGAGCTGTGAATCCCCAGATCCTGAATTTCTTGTAAACAATTTGTTTTCCTCTGTTCTGAGACAGCCTGCAGCTGCTCTAAGCACGAGACCCTCAGGAGTTCCTCATGGAAGGGGAGTGATTTCTGGTGGGTTTGGCTGGGGCGTGGCTATCAGTTAAGGGTCCCTATATAGGCGGCTCTGGTATACAATAAAGGGGGCATTCCTGTTTCAAGGATGACCCATGTCTCTGTGAGTCTTTGTGTGTTTCAATCTCCAGCTCTTTGCCCGGTTCATGAACTGTATGGTAGTGCATAGAGTGCAGACGGGTGTGATGCACCGCACAGAGCAGCAGGATAGAAGAATGGGTAATCATCTGGCATGAGAAGGAAAAAGGACTTCTCACCTCTGAGTGAGTAAAACCTCTCTCTCACTGCTAGGCATTATATCACATTCCTTTAGTCCCAGCACTTGGAAGGCAAGTGGATCTCTGAGTTTGAAGCTAGCCTGGTCTACTACATAGGGTGTTCCAGGCTATCCAGAGCTACATAGGGAAACCCTGTCTAAAAAACAAAATAAGGAAACTCTGATGACTGAGAATCAAGAATTCCAGCATCATAAATCACATCTGCCATGAAAGCAGCCAACAGAGTAAACACTCCTTTCAGATACGTATTGTATGTTAAAGAAGTAATAACTCAGGGTTGAGGCCTGACTATGTATGACCTTGGGCAGTGCCTCATTCCTTTCTAGAGAATCTTAAACAAAACCTTCCTACATCAACTTTTACCTCATCAAATGTACTCCAGACAAATGCCCCTCAGAAACCTAAGTGATCTCAATTAGATTTCCTAACAACCCTCAAAAAAATACTCAGGAGGCATAGACAGGCAGATCTCTGTGAGTTT